CTACAAAATGGTACACCCAAGACTTTACTGAGCTAAACTTTACCTCAAATAAGAACCTTAAGCAAATATTGAACATTAAGTGGTGATGTGTATGCTGAAGTATTTAATTACTTCATATATACTTTTACCTTAAAGTGAAACGTGCTGATGCACAATTTATGTTGAAATGCATTAAAAATAAGATGAATAATTGATAGGTAGATATGTGGGTAAATGATCAAGCACTTGTAGTAAAATATGGGTACAATAGAAAAATGGTATAATCAGCATTTAGAATTTACTATAAATTTCAAATATTTTACATGTCTGAAGTTTCCATAAACTATAGGAATCAAAAACCTACTTGTTTAAGCCATTGTTCATTAGATTTTTAATTATTTGCTGTAGGATATAATCCTTACACTGATACCAACACAAAAGTTTTCTACAAAGTGAATTAATTTGCCTCTAGATTTACTATTCATTTAACAAATATTGAATAAATATATACTATGTACTGGGTCTTGTGTTCTTGATGAGGATATGATCTTATAAACAAAATAAAGTCCCCATGCTTGTGAATATTATAAACTAGTGGAAAAGATAGACACAAACACATAATCACTGGTATTAAAATTATGAAGGAAGCACATCCAGGCTTTAGGGCAGGAAGGACCTAACCTGTGGTGGCTAAAGGAATCAGTAAAGACTTCCTTGAAGGAATTTGAATGATGTATAGGTTTTATATGTACTGTGTGATTCCATTTATTGAGCTAAAGGAATTAATGAGATGGAGAGGGATAGCAAATATTCAGACAGAACAGTAAAAGTGAAAGAAGTCTCTGTGGCTGCAGCACCAATGGAAAGAGGACGAAAGATGCACCCTGCTGAGGATGGGTACTCTTTCAATTCACTTTTCACTAGCTTTTGATGCTATTACTTACTTTGCCCAAGTTCTTGCATGTATGCTGCTAAAGTGGCTATAGGTGTTCTAGTCTCAAAATATCCAATTAGACTAGGCAGGAACTTTAATAACAGGTATTAAATACTTGATAAAATAAAATGGCTATTAAATGCCACTTTTTATTCTCTTTTGCTATTAGGACTCAAGATACTGCAGGGACATGGTAGCAGCCTTCATCTCCATTCCTTTCCTTATTTTGACATTCGAAACAAATTTTTACCAGATTCTTTTTAAAGCTTTTGCTTTTTTTGTTTTTTTGCAAAGGAGAATGAGAACATTAGGATGCTTGGTAAGTCTACACAGGTATAAATTTTCTCCTTTGTATTGGAAATCCAACATAACTATTAAATTTTAAAAATTATAGATTTAAATCCCTACTCTTCCAAGGCAATGGAGAAAGGATTATCCCAATGATGAAAATCTAGTCATTTTGTGTCGATTCTTTTACATGTACCCTCCATACGCCTAAAATGAAAGGCTGCAATAAAAAAATTTTAAAAAAGAAATAACTGTCAAGGACAAAGGCATAATAAGCCACCACTCTGTCCTAACAGCTTTTCTTTTCTTCCTACATGACTAATAACACACTGGGTGGGAACATTCCCTGGAGAAAAGCCACAGGGTCTAAGCAACTCAAAGGACTAATGTGCTTTTACAGCTGGGTAACTCTGATCTGTGCAAGTCAAGCATCAGCCTTCATTTGAGCACTGAACTCAGCCCACTGGCCTTCCTTGGATGCCAGAGGGGCCTCTAGGAGCCCCATACCTTACTTTGCCTCCATTGCTTTTTCTTTCATATATTACTAAGTACTACTTATTGGACATCTAGTCTGTGTCTTGTTCTTCATATTGTCACTCAAACCCTACATAGTGGTAGCAAACTCTACAATTAAGGAAAGCAAGATTCAGGAAGTATATGAAGAAAGAATGTTTCTTTTGTCAAAATAGAAAACCCAATTCAAAGTGGCTTAGGCAAAATAGGTATTTACTAGCTCACATCCAAAGTGGCTCAGGCAAAATGGGTAATTACTAGCTCACATCAAAAAACAAACAAACAAAAAAAAAACACAAACAGTAGTACTGGTTTCAAACAGAACTGTATCCAAGCTCTCACAAAACCACAGGGCCCATTTCTGTTTCTCTTATGGGAGGTAGTAGGTAAGATCACTGGGATAGTGTAAAACCCTATATCTATTCCTTTTCCTGTCTCATCATGTTTCACTGCTTCTGTTTTGGGTTTCCTACCTATCCACAAACCACCACACTGAATTGGATAAGAATATCCCCTAATAGTTTTAGACCAAAGCCTGACCCCTGCTCTGCAGTTGAGAAGTCTAAAGGGGAAAGACAGATGGCCATAAAATAACAACTGCCATTTACTCTAAAGAAACTAAGTAACTATACATCATCACATTCTTTCACATTGGTCAAGCTACTTCTCTTATGCTCTGTGACCACTAAGCTTCACCCTCATGCTGATTTGAAATAAAAGTCCTTCCCACATTTCTGGTCTCGGCTCTGTACCAGATTGGCGTGATTTAATCAGAGGCTTCATTCTCTCTGCAGCAAGGCAGAGTCCACCAAAACAATGGATTTTCTTTGACAAACCCAAGGATAAGTGGTAAATAGGCAGATGACTCCAGATCAAAGCACCCAGCCAGGGAGATAAATTAGACTATAAGCAGCCTAGGCTCTACTCACCAAAGTTTGTGTCACCATGTGGGACTGCTTCAACCCAAAAGAATGAGACTTTTATTTTTTTAATTTGCACTAAAGTATCCTGAGGTTCTTACAGTCAGTTCTATTTTAGGTGACCTTCATTCCATCTTTCCCTCCCTGCCTCCCTCTAGGTAAGACCCATTCCAGATGTCCGTCCCTCACCCTTTAGGCTTTATTGACTCTCCTCTCTCTCATGGATGAGAAGACTTTAGCAGGCTGTTGAGGGAGAGGCAGAAGAGTACCAATTCAGTTTCTTTACCCCAACATAATCTCTGGATGCCATAGAGTAACTATAATCTGGATAGCCATGTCTCCACTATGTGAATGGCTTTCATTGTTAGTAATATGATTTCCATTTCTTCAAATACTGTTCTCTAAGAGCCTGGAGGCACTTGCGTAGGCTTCTCATCTCCTTGGAGTCCTTTTTATACCCAGATTTTTCCATGGTTGACTCCTAAATATCTTTTGCATACATATACAATCGAAGTTGTTGCACATTCCTCCCATGAAGAATCCCAAAAACTCATCAGAAAATCTAAATTTTCTACCATGCCAGTACCTTTCAGTCTTCATGTTCTGCCAGAGGCTGGGAAGGTATCAGGCTAAACTACATGAAAGTGCCCTTTTGTATGTCAAAATGAAAATGTTCTATTTTGAGAGAAACACATCAATTTGAATGTGTGGTGTGAGTGTGTGTGTGAAAACATGCATAGGTGCATACAGGCACACATGCTACAGGTCAAACCCAGGGACTGTACATGCAAAACATGTCTCTATCATAGCTATACCCCCAGCAAAAAATAAATATCCAACCAAAATATGCATTGTTAGCATTAACTACTGTCACCAAGTGATTAGTATTCCCCAAAAGATAAATTTCTCAAAATAATGTCGTAAAATATTAAATGACATATACAATGTTCATAAAATTCAGCACTGTTTAAAATTTATTTAAATCCTCTGAAAAAGGTCTAGTGAGTAAAAATGAATGTGACACAATTTCTCAGTCCAATTCTATTAACTTTGCTATGATGGCTTGTGCTGTCTGTGAGTGAATGCTATCCCAGAAAAGTATAGATCAAAGTCTGCTAACCAAATGCAGAATGATTCTAGATCAATTTTTATACATAATGTCAACTTCTTCACAATACAATGTTAATTAGATTTGCCCAGGTTAAAAAAGCAGTAATGAAATACCCTTTTTGAAGACCACCTACAGTTACCAGGATCTTTTTTGGTTGCAACAATGGCTTTAACAAATGTTTGGGAACTTCACCAACATCAATTGTTGATCAGATCACTTTCAATTGCCATGTATGTATCCATTTTTTTCATTAAAGCTGATGATCCTCTCCAAAATTTTAACCATCTCAGCCTGTGATCATCCATCAACTGGTGTGGTACCTACCCACTTGTCCAATTTTTTCACTTTCCCTATTGCAGCCAGGTGACGAGCAACCGTTGTAGCAGAAACTCCTAAGTATGCAGCAAGGCCTCGAATTGCTGTTTTGGGGTTAGCCTCCACCAGAGCTCTCAGGTGATCTTCATCTAAAACAGATCTCCCTCGAGGCTCATTTTTCAGACTCAGATCCCCAGAACGAAATTTTTCAAACCACCAACGGATGGTCCTTTCACTAACAGAGCCTTCTCCAAAGACAGAATTGAAGTTCCTACTTGCCATGGCTGCACTATGTCCTAGTTTAAATTCATATAAAAAAAAGTATTCGCAAATCTTTCAAAGATATGGTATTATTCACCTCTGTGGAGAAAATAAACCATAAAAACTCAATCAAAGAAAATTGAAGAGTACAGTACTATTAAAAATACTAAAGAGCACAGGTAAAAATAGACCTGATATCAACTTTACCGACTGTGGTAAAGTTTCAACTGATCAAACATCAGCAATTTCACTTGGAGGATACAACTTTTTGCCACTGTATTCAGCTGCTGTCAGTTCATATTAGGTGGGTATTTCTTTTAGGCCTTTTGGCTTTCTCTGACATGAATATAATTTTTCATAATTTTATAATCATCTTCCATAGAAGACAATGCTTTCAAACTAAAATATGAGTTGTGCTTTCGAATTCAAGAACTCAGTGCCTACCAAACAATTTTTTTAGTAGTAGGGATCTAGTACAATTTAAGAGTTGGGGGTAAATTCTCCCATAATGGACTGATAAGCCTATTTCTTATGCTTTTTGAAAAAAATTCATTTTTATATCTGTCTCTTCCCCATTTCATATGTTCTGAATGACTGCTACTTCACAACCTTCTTTTTTTTAGAATTTTTTTAATATTTATTTTTTAGTTTTAGGTAGACACAATATCTTTATTTTATTTTTATGTGATGTTGAGGATCGAACCCAGTGCCTCGCACATACCAGGCAAGCGTGCTACCACTTGAGCCACATCCCCAGCCCCACAACCTTCTTATGTTCCCTAAATCTTTATGTAGAATTTATCTTCTTTAACCTACCTCTCTATTTTGACCTTTTTGGTTCATTCTTACTTTTGGTGTACATGAATAAAAGTAATATTTTAGGGGAATAAAAGAACCAACTGTCCAAGTTCACATTTTTTCCCCCAGCAGGCACATATGGCACTAGAATCCACTGTCTAGGGTGTTTCTGAAAACTACAACCATAATAAACTCATTCCCAAGTCCACCAAAGGGTTTTTAAAAAGTACAGAGTGATTCAGCAGAATTTAAATCTAGTCAACATGTGAATTGAGAGGAA